GGGGGGATTTTAAAAGGGTTCCAGGGCCAAAGCGCAAAAGTGAAAGAAAGACATAGGAATGAAGGGAGGTGGACGACAGACAGGGAAAGAAGAAGCCATGGAAGGAAACAATGTGCACCTCTGAACTGGGTGAAAATCCAGCAGACGACGCTATGGGCATTCCGACCGGCTCATTTCTACCACTGGTCCCTTTGTTTTCCACCTCAGACTCCGACAGCGAGCTGTCCTCCATGGGTCTCCTTTCTCTCCTCTGTCTCCGCCGAATTAATCCAACCAGTTCCTCCTCGACTCCAAACCCAGAGTCACACCGGCTAACTTTTAACTTTGACCGGAAAGACGGAGAAAAATAAATCCCCAAAGTCTAAGATAGGGCCGCTCGGATCCGGCGCTCTAACCAACTTTTACGCGCGGCTAAAACCAGATCCACTCCCCCTTCCTGCTCAATCACGTATTTTCAAATTACGAAACAACGGGTTGTGACCGGAATTCGATTGGAAATTTTGTTCTGCACCGATACCTGCATGTGAATTAAAAACGATCACCACAACATGAGCACAGAGGTGACCAGCTTTTGTTTTCCTGTTCCCGGCAGTCTTTATCCTTGTGAAAAAAAACACGTCCGACTGGCTTCTCCACTCCCAAACAAGTCCCTGATATTACTGCCAAACTTTGTCTATGTCCATAACAACAATCACGCAGTGTATGCACTCCACACATTAATGCACACACGCAAAGATCTAACTGCTCAAATTGCAGAGATATTAAAACTGAAGGGTAAATGTCCATGTCCATTTAAGCAGTGAATAAAGCAGGCTGTGTTAGCGCTTACATGTGCTGTTTAGTTTAATTATTATTTTTAATTAAAGCATGGTATGTGTACATTGATTTAATGTTTCTTCATGCTGTTTAATATGTGAATATATTTTTAATGTGAATTTAAAGACAAAAAAAATAAAATATATCACAGGTATGATTTTACTCATGCAACTAATATAGTCATATATTTTCACTAATATATATATTAAACACAACTGTTATTGCCACAATGTCACATACTAATGGTAATAATAATAATAATGTTTATTATTATTATTATTGCCATTGTTCTTATAATTATTATTTTCCTCTAATTTGACTCTACACAAACACACACAAAAAGAGGAAGCTATGAAATTAATAAAATACATTCTATTCATCCTGCAGTTGAATTAAATGTGTCCACTGACAGTTGTCAAAAGAATGACATATTTGGATCAAAACAATACATCATATCCATAAAATAATTACCATAGATAGATTTTTTTACCCAAAAAAATTAATGAAATGAAATTAAAGAAATCAAAGAGGAGCCCCTTACCTCGCAATCTTCATATTTAATGTTATCAGTTAATTTCCAAAGCATTTTCATGGGTTGCTGAGGTGGATATTGAGTATAGGTATCGCCTTAGTCTTGTTTTCACTCAGTGAATTGTGCTCCCCGCTCAGAAAAACTACTTTTATTGAAGCTGTGGGCTGCTGTCTGTCTTGCGCTCTGAGGTCTCCCTCTAATGGTGGAAGTGAAGGGCTGGAGCAGCTCTGTAATAACACTGGCACAGGGCCTCATTAGCATATCAACAGCCGTTTGATTCCCCCCATCTGCTCACACACAACACCAATGGACAGCGCACAGGTAAAAACTAAAGCAGCAAGACGCTACACATGCTTATTATTTCTACTGTTCACTGAGGTGTGTGTGTGTGTTTGTCGAGGGGAGGGTATAGTCAAGCATGGGGACCTGCATGCACCTGGGACGGTTTGTAATTTTACATGTCTTTCCGATTCTGGAAAACAACTACAGCAGACTCCAGTTTTTTTTGCTATTTTAACGCTTTACATTTATTCTATAAAAAAGTTACACATATATTTTCTGTGAAATAACTTAAGTTTACTGTACAAGCCAGTGTCTTATTGATTGCTTTTTTCCCCAGTTACTTGATGTGAAAACAGCATGCCTATGCAAATACAACCCTGTCACGCACTTTGTTGTCACCCTTGATTTTTTAACTCCCAAGCTGTTATTTTAATCCCATTGAGAGTGGAGACCTCGAGAGGCTTTTCTTTCATTGTTATGTTAAAATGAAAAAGGTGAGCCATTCGAAGCGGCTCTACAGGTCCAGTGACTACCTGTGAGGGCGCAGGGGTTTGGGGGAATGTAAATAATTAACACAACAACATGGCCTTGTTTCATTTGAATGACCGGCCAGGAGAGGCTGGCTCTGCCCTGTCGCCGGCCGAGACTTCACCTCAGCAGGTCGTGGGTCAGCAGACAGGTCGCCTGCTCTTTAAAGGCGTTGGCCCCTCTCGTCTTAAAACCCGGATTACCATTTTTGGTGGAGTACCTTTTTTTTTCTTACAAGCAGTTGTTATTAATGAGAATGGAGGGATGAAACTGGCTGACAATGACAGCCATGCATGCGTTTTTTCTGGAGATGAGGCCTGGTTATTTAACGAGTGAAACTCGAGTGTTTTTGTGTCAGCAAAGATCGTCTCTTTACATCTCCCCACACCTCACAAAACAAGGCCAGGTTTGCAGTATAGCGCAGACAATCTGTGGACACTAAGAGCCTAGAAAGTTCATTATGCTATGCTATGTAAGTCACAAGTTTAAAACATGCAATCTGAATGTGGCATAGTAATAAATAAACGCGTATTACAGATAGGAAAAGTTACATTTTACTTCAAAGACGCAACGAGACTAATATGGTCTGCGTTTTGTCACCACATCATCTCCTGTCTAATGTATGATCAAACACATCTGTATATACCAGTATATCTGAAATGCGTATGCAGACCTTACAACCTACAACAACATGCGATCACCGTCCTCAGGTTGGAGTTAATTTGACACGTAAGGCTACATCACCGCAACAGAGAGTTCCCAAACTAAAATATCTTTAACTTCCTTTGCGTGATCTCCTGTCGGATAAAACATATAAGCTTCTAGATGAACACAGGAGCACTGTTGCACCCTCCCTTTTACAAAAGATTTCACGCTGCCTGTGCAGCCTCATCCTACAACAGGTCGACAATTTGACAGTTTTCATGGATTTCCACAGCCGTCTCTTTGTGTTAAAGCAAAGCACCACATACCTGCCATTCCCCCATTTTGCCCATAATTGACATTCTTTATCTTTTGCTGCCTTTGGTTGGTTTTGGTTTTTGGTCGATCCGGTGCCGTGTCTATCTCATTGAGCCTTCGGTCCCCAAAGTAAAGCTTTACTTTTTACCTGGACCGGATCGCCTCACCTGGCCATAAAAACGGTGTGGGGCCACCTGGTGACGCATGCGCACAACTCCGGGTGTGGACGAGAAAGACACTACCTGGGAAAAAGTGAAATAGCCATATTTGTATGGGTGCTGGGTAGGCCTAAGCTGTCACACTTTGGTCTTTAATGACAATTAAACGAGTTTATTATTCTTATTATTTATTACATGGTTTGAAAGGTTTCCTATTTAAAGAAACTATGAGGTACAATCAAAGCCACTGTTGTTGTTGTTGTTTAAATCTAAGATTAATTATATTTGCAGGGAAGTGTCCTTTTAAGCTTTTACCCTATAAAATCCATATTGTACAGAGTAATAACGGTAGTATATTTGCATTAGGTGAATTTCCATTCATTTAAAAAAAAATAGAAAGTAATAGCCTACAATTGTGCACACTAAAAGCCAGGTAACATGTGGTGTGGTTTTACCCTCTCCTTGAAACAAAATATAATAATAAGAATTAAGATGGCTTATTATAAAATATTAAAACTGCAATAAAATGAAAGTGCATTTAGCAAAGGAAAAATATAATGTATTATGTTTATCTTAAACTGACATAAAAGTAAAATAAAAACAAAAATATGTTACTCCTGAGTCAATTAAACTTCTTCCTCACTGTTTTGTCTGTTTTTAGAAAACATGAATTCTCACTGCAAATGAAACTGTGTCAAGTTAAAAACTTGAAGGTTAACTGCCAACATCATTAATTCTACACAGAAAGCTACCCTGCCATTGTGAGGCTCATTATTTATTTATCCACTGTTTATTTCTAATACATACTTATGTAGACCCCTCCGGCCAAGAGCGAATGAGCTCTCCCTCTCTCTGTCTCACACACGCACACACCCACCAACACACACACACACAAAGAGAGAGAGAGAGGGGGGGGGGGGTGCAACACGTGCGCTCACATAGGTGATAATGGTCAAAGCTTTAGTCCAAAAAACAAAAAACCCCTTTCTCCTCTTTCAAGTTTCTGACAGCACTCACGCATGCAGGCTGCAAACGGGACGCACAGAGTTACGATGAACGTCGCTGGCAGACAGCCGCATGGATGGTTCTCTCACTACATCAAACACACATCAAAACATATTTAATGCATGTACTGAGAATATTGGACAAACTTTTTTACGGGAAAATACTCTTCATTTTGCATTTTTTTCCAATAAATCCTTTATAGTTTTTATTTTATTTATTATTTTTGCAATTGCATAATCCCACATAGAATCTATAGATTTATTTTTTCTCCTGGTGTTAATATTTAAAACAAACCTTCCTGTTGGATTTTAAAGGCGAACACATTTTAACTACACACACAATACCTGCAGCTATACAGACCTCACCAGGACTGGACAAAAGAGAGGGAGGTGTGTGTGTGTGTGGGGGGGGGGGGGGGGGGGGATCAGAAATATTGTTTGGGGCTCTGTGCACTAAGGGAGGAGTAAGTTTTAAAGCAGAGCTGTCTGAGAGTGGGTTACTCTCAGACAAGAGCGGGTCCGTTTGAATATCCAGCCTGTTTGTCTAAGGCTTGGTTTCAACCACTTCCACCATAGCACCGGGCCTCCGGCAATGTTCTGTTCCTAAAACTGCGAGCTATGTTTAATAGGCGTCGGCAACCGTTGCACCTCGGGCCCTATTATTATTATTATTATTATTATTAGTAGTAGTAGTAGTAGTAGTAGTAGTAGTAGTATTTACTGTATTAGTGGCAGTGTTGCGTGTGTGTGGTAGGCCACTGGTCGGACATGGTTGAGACACAAATTGATCTTCGTGCGTATTTTACGCGCCCTTCTCAGTCCCCAAAATGTTGTAAAACTTCGTCAATCGTCAAAAGATGCCAAGTGTGATCTGCAACAAAGACTTTTGGCTGCAGACTCGCACCAGCTGGACGTGACTGACTGCTGAAGACAGGAACTATCCCGTCACCAGCACACATGGTACAGACGCCCCATGCAGCACCGTGATTTTTATGACATTTGGGTCTGTTGAGGGAGAAGGTTTCAGGCTCACTGTATGAGAAGCTGCTCTCCAAGGAAGATCATTTGTATTCTAGCGCCACCTTGCTTCAGGAGAACGGCAAGTGGATTAAATACAATATTGCCGGTAATTGAAACCAAATGAGAATGTGCGCGCAGTGAGCATTCCTGTAAGTGAAACTGCCACACCGATGCCAGTCAAAAAAAAGCAGGTGGTCAAAAGGAACATGCGCAAATTAGTGAAATATAAAATAAGGGCATGGGTCAAAATCCAGGCAATTGTCAGCCCTCGCCTTGACCTTTATCCACCTGCCCCTGTTCATGAACTTCAATCACACTTCTAAGACTAAACCTGCCCATTTTCATGGTAATCGCCCCACAGGGCTCCAATTCTAAAAAAAACACACGTCCCGACGCAGTGGGGAGGCGATGTTGTGTGTGTGTTTTATCCTGCTTCTGTGCAGACCTTTTGTCTAAATGTAAAGCTAAACAAAATTGGAATTGCACTGGGAGAAGTCCCGTTAAAGCTTGGTGATGTTAGGGTATGAATGAAAACGCAATTTAGTCCAATCCTGTGGCGCCATCTTGTGGTTTTAAAAAATAAATCCAGCTCCCACTCGGGTGTCTGAGGTCCATCATCGGTGTTTGAGGTTGGGGGGGTTAAGTACATTTAGGCCTATACTTAAATGTCATTGCTATGTCGTGACTCTGGAGTCAGCAGATGAGACAATAAAGATATATTTTCATATTTAAAAAAAAAAAAAAATGGGTTCAGTCTCCCCACTGTTTGCTCCTCTCCCACAATATAGAAATAAACCGTTTTAATGGAGACATATAAAACAACAGAAACCTTCATAGATGAGATTCCTTAGAGCATTACTTCAAAATAATGGCCTGTTGTCTAATGCACATCAATGTGGAAACAGATGGGGTAGCTTTGCTCAAGGGCACCTAATCAGTCTTAAGAGGTGGCAGTGTCAAATTATAGGCTACACAAATAGAATGATTATGTCAAACATGTTAATTAATCATCATCATCATCATGTTATTGTTTCAAATTGGTCCTGATATGTTCTGACACAGAACATATCATTATGTATATACGATTTATAAACATAAGTAATGAAATGTATTTGTTTTAAAGATATTAACGAGATAAAGATAAATTGTATAATGTATATATAACTATTCCACATGGGGCAGTTAGTATGTGTTAAACGCAGGATTGCTTGAAAGTGTTTGAAATTGCTGATGCGTTCAATAACCAAGAAGAAGGCAACGTTATGTTACACAACGCACTATATACATTTGGGGCAAATGTGCACATATTGTTGCTTTTTAACTATTATTAAAAAAAAGGACAACTTGTACGCTTTAATGTTTTAGTCATCACTATTATTATTATGTGTTTATTAATAATAATTATTATTTGTTGAAATTCCGCCTCTCACGAAGGCAGCACCTCGCTCCCAAGCAAAGCGCCTACATTTCCCGTCGGGCATCCCGCGGCGTGTTATGTGTGCCAATAATTTGTGCTCGGCGGAGAACAAGCTGCAGCAGACAGTGACAGAGGACAAACTGAAGGAGCAAGGTTGTACGTATTTATATTTTGGGGTTTAAAGTTTCCATATATTGACAGCCTCAGACGTTTACAGCTCGAATTAATTCACAAATAATAGTTTATATTTCATAAACTGATGTACCAGCGCGTTCAGTGGACTGCATGTGTGTAACAGTGATGCTAGCTTGTGCTCGTGCTAAGGCTCTGTACATTAGTAGCCTTATCTATGAAGCCAGACACGCACACGCCCCTCAGTGGGGCCACAATGTAACGATATTTGGCCAAAAACAGACCCACTGTGTGAAAGCGGGAACGTTCCTCGGGTGCTACAATGTTTCTCTATCTCCTGTTGCCTCAGCTAGTTGTCTGCAACAGCTCTGTATTGCAGCATTCAGATGGTGGTTATAGCATTTGGGCACCTGTAAGTAATGTCTGGTTCACAACAGGGAGCCGGCTGAATTGAATAGTTACTGTACACATTGAGTGTGTTCGCTCACTAACACGCTGTGGCCCCTGACAGGTGTTCAACATGTCTGTGGATTGGGTCGGATATGGATACGCAGCCCTGGTCGCATCCGGGGGAGTCATTGGTTATGTGAAAGCAGGTATGTGTTTAAGGTGGTTCCTCAAATCTTCAAAAAGCACTATGTTTTGAGATTCTAATAATATTGCTGTGGTGTTTGCTTGCTTGTGTGACTTTCTTTTATAGATCACTGCATTTCTGATGTAGCCTGTCCAAAACCATTTTAGAATAAGTAGAAATTGGATGATAACCTCGGTCATGTAAACTGATCTTTTCTCTTCTTAAGAATCCATGTTCATTCTATAATTTCCATGCACTATAAAACTAAAATGTTATCATTTGTGTGTGCCACAACACACCAGTGTGTACTTGTTCTTCTGTCAGGTGTTGACCTGCTGTGTGTTGTGTCTTCCAGGCAGCGTCCCCTCCCTTGCTGCTGGTCTTCTCTTCGGCGGCCTCGCAGGTTTTGGCGCCTACCAGATCTCCAGTGATCCCAAAAATGTTTGGGTGTCCCTCGGTTGGTATTGTTCTGTGTTTGCCGTGAATGTGTTGCACGGGGATAAACTAGAATAGAACAGTACTGTGTCTCTGTGGTCAACATTCTCTACCACGCTGTGTCTTCCAGCTACATCAGGAGCGCTGAGTGGTGTCATGGGAAAGAGGTTCTATTCATCCAGGAAGTTCATGCCAGCCGGCCTGATGGCTGGAGCAAGGTATGCATCTCCTTCATGTGACTAGACTGATTTTAAATATTGCATTAGTCTGATGTGGTCATGATGACTAAATTTGACTCACGGTTAAGGTGATAGTTGCTCTAGTCATTGCTGCTACGCTGAACAGCTTGATAATAATGTGATGGGATGTTGAACCCAGATGATCACTCATACTCTAAAGTGACTCAAAATCTCAGCACATTTTTCTCGGTTTAGATTATTCTACAATTCCCAGTGCTCTGTGCATAGAGTCTAATGTTATCTTCCTGTTCCAGTCTTCTAATGGTGGCAAAGCTTGGTGTGACTTTGCTCCAGAAACCCCAGGAGTCCTGATAGAAGATTCTGATGTGTGCTCCATCTTCCGTTTCAGCATATGTCATTCACTGTTGAACATTAATGTCATTTTGTAAAAAACAAACCAACAAAAAGAAGTGTATATTTGAGGATGAAATATAATACCTTGTTTATATAATAGAAATGGTCGTCTTGTCCTTTTTGAACGAATGCAGTATGCACTTTCATATCTTTTATTTGTATAAAATGTTTACAAAATGTTCAGTCAATTCATTGCATAATACAAAGAGGTGTGTGTAGTTGTCTTACAGTATCTAGAATAAGTTGAAGTGATCACTTTTATAGCCATATCACCTATGGTGAATAACAGCAGAGGGAATATAGCATTGCAGGAACCGTTAATATGTCTGTTTATCCTTTGCCATCAGTAGTAAAACAATACATGACAATAAAAACTAGAGTAAAAAAAATGAAAAGCTATGTTACATTTAAATCCTACTCAGAATACCCCAACACTAACAGTAGAATGAATTGGCTCACACTGGATCCTTCAGGAGTACAGTGGGATTGTCGTGCAGACAGTATCAGTCTTGGTTCAGTATCATGGCAACAGTCATCCAAACATACACTCCATACACATTTACAGTTAGATCATACATGTCTCAGGCTCTCTGGTAACAAAACTATGCCATTGTGGCATACAAAATGTCTCCTAAAAAGACTGGGATGTGTCACGTACATCTTTTGTAACATTACTACAACAGGTTTGAGTATGGTTAAAAGTCTGCTTAGGGTTAGCTTCCTTAGCCAAAGATGTGTACCACTGAGCAACGCAGTCCAACAAGCAGTAGAAGCTGTACCACCTTCTTTCTGAACTACCGATTTCCACCATATTTGGAGGTCCAGTCCACCCTGCCGTGGACAGGCTGCACAGCGGGAGCTCTGGTCAGGAGATTCCCAGACGTTTTCCCTAGGGCTGAGTAGCTGCTCCCCTTCATCTGAGTCCTGTCTGCTCTCCTCTTCCAGCCCTCGTAATCTGCAGGAACATGCCAGTCAGTCAGTTTGTTTATCTCCAATATATATTTACACATATAGCCAGGTGTCTGTCTTTATTAAGATCCCTAGTTTGTGTGATGCAAGACACATCACATGTGTTGAAACCACACAATCCTATTTATTTTTAGCTGTGTGATCCAAGACACATCACACAGCTAAAAATAAATAGGGTTGTGTTGTTTAAACCCATTAAAAGAAAGAGATTAATATAGTACAGGTATTGTAGGTAACAAAAAAACCAATAGACAAGGGAAGCAACACAGAAGGACAGCTTTTTCTTCTAAAAATATGAACACAAGGAACTAATAGCAACTATTAGAAAATGGCAATACCTTCATTAGTTTCACTTAAAGATGAGTTGGATATGGGCTTGGCCTTTGCAGATTTTGGTTTGTCTTTTTTATTATCAGGAGAAGAAGAAAGATTGACTGAAAGAGTGAAGAAAGGAGAAACAGTCATAGTGAGTGAGAGTTTTGATTGAAGTATTAATAGAGAAAAAGAGAAGGAATAGTCAGCCATACTGGCATAATGGTCGAGTGCAGGACGACCATACAAGACAGCAGTCATTCTTACAGAATGTAGAAACAGTATTTATTTAAGATTTAGATTTAAGGGGCAATTTTGGACGGATAAGTGGTGGGGACGTGGCGAGGTAATCTGATCTAAAAGTATCTTACTTGCGTGCTGGCCAGCCAAAGGGGCAAGCTGGATTCTCTGTCCCACCGAGCCCACCTCTTTCTTTTGGAATGAAGGCATGTAAGCACCAGAGAGGTTGTATTTGGTGCTTACAAAGTTCCCTAAAATAAAAGAGAGACATGGGTCTTTAGTTATGTGCTTTATTGTTACACCCTCCAGGTACCCAGGCGGCATGGGTCAATGTCATATAAGTTCAAATAATGTGAAAACTTTAGTAAACACACCTAATAGATGACTTTACTGATACTAATTATTTGTGTGAACATGTGAGGTAGCTCCTGCATATGCAGCAGCTACTGAGGACACAAGAGATCAAGTGTTTGAAGTCATTCAGCTTCTCCGGCGACGCCGTCGGTCTGCTTCACCAACGGTCACAGATAGCTATCAGTATAATTAGTGAAAAGCCTCATTGTTCCCTTATGAAGATGTTGTGGTTGTAGTGCAATTTACCACCTATTTAGCAACTGGGGTTCTTAGTTCTCTGGTTAAACTGTGTATTTGTACCCTTGTCTCCTGCAGAGCCTTTTAGTAGCCGTTTTCTTTCACATGTTAAGTCGCTGGCTGAATACCTGAAGCTTGTTGCATTGGCCGCAATACTAACTTCAATGTTTCTACACAAAGGGAGAGATATCTAAATTTACATGACTGCTCCCAACTGTAAAACACAACAAAACAGTTCACGTGACGTCATCTCAATGAAATACCTTTGGAGAGATCGATTTTCTCCAGAACTCTTTCTTTAACAATGGTTTTCTCTGGTGGGCTATCCACAGATTTAGAGTTATTCTCTTCTAGTCACACAGCCAAAAGTAGAGTTGGAGGAGATATGCATGCAATCAGAGAGAAAGAAGAATGAGAAAACCGAGAGAAGAATATGTTAGCACAGATGCTTATGAAAGACACAAAACAAAAAGGAAAGATACCCTTTTCCTTGATTTTAGTAAAACAAAATGATATTCATGAGTAATGGGTGAGCAGTGTCAAAACAAACGTTAGTGTGCGTGTGTGAGAGTAAGCGAGTGCTGGGAGGTGGGACAAATGAGCAGGGGGGTGCAGTTGATGGGCCATTTAAGGGAACACTTGATCTTACACCGACAGCCTTAATCTCATGAATAAGCAATGGAGAGGGAGAGACAAGGTGAAAGAAAGACACAGGAGAAGAGAGGGAAGGAGGGAGCACAGCGGGGGCCCATATTGTGTGTCTGTCTACATGACAAATATGATTTATAGAGGTCGCAGACGCTTAGACTCACTCCTAACAAGGCTTCGGTCAATGGCCCCATAACTACTGATCAGGAGACATCAGCTGCATCATTAGCATTTAGAGCCTTTGTGTAACAAAGAGGACAGATCATATTATGTAACAGTAGGTGACACTGACAGTCACCAGGTTTCCACTGCCTGGCACACTGTAGTCATTATTTATATCTCTTTATATCTCTGAGTAAGTAGGTTGATTGCCTAATTTTGTAGCCAAAATTTGTTAGCTCAGTTATAGATTTAGAAAGATTTCTCTGCATATTCTATGTGAGGTTCACAATGTCCACAGTGGGTACAATGTGTTATTATGTTAAAAAATAAAATATTGACAAAGAGGGGAATATTCACTGAAGAATAAGGACACAAAGACTAGTAAATGTAACAGGATACTTGCATTAAAATGCCTAATTTCTTGTTTCTGTGTCTAGTTTTTTGATGGTACTTCTAATACGCCAATAATCAGGGAAAACCTCAGCAAGCATTTTAATGAATCTCCTGGAACTCATTCACTTCCTGTCTACATTATGGGTCCTGTACACACTGTAAACACAGTTGTTTTGTTCAATATGATTTCCTTAACATGTTAGTGAAATCTGGAAACCCGAGCACCGTCCACTGCACGCTCCATCAAGCCTCTTAACACCTCTACATCAGTCCTCACCTGCGTTGGCTCTGGTGACAGATAATCCTCCTCCAATAGGAGCAAGTGGTTTATTTACAGTGTTTGGGGAGTTCTCCCACAGGTCCCGCAGCGTCATACCACTCAACTCCTTATCTCCAGATGTCTGATTCTTGCCAATCAACCCTTTAAGCAACAGAAAATGTGTGATAATTAAACTACTAAAATCATCATGTTGCATTGTTATGAAACTGGCTGATCAGGTGGCCCCAAATGAATGCAATGACGCCTTATTATTTTTACTTGATATGAGGATGATGCTCCTTATATGTGTTTGATTTATTGAGTGGAGTCAGTCACCGTAATGCTTGCATTACAAATCACTACAGGGAATCTGAAAATAGCAACAAGGCCCTTCATCACACAATCACAGGACATCTGAGACAAAGAGAAACTGGGGAGCCATAAAAAAGGCGCCTGTGAGCTGATTCCAAAGGTAATTAGATATACTAGCAGTCATGCTTGACAACAAGTCACCTGACACAACTACAACAAAGCTCATGAATACATTTCCTGGCAAGTTTAAGAGGGGAAATGATGCAAAACCATAAAGAGAATGGAAAAATTGTTTGTACAACACTACGTTATGGTGACCAATGACAAAGATGACCCTGTTTGCTGTTGGTCATGCAGTCTCACCTGGCAAGTACCGTGACTGGCTCAGATAGTGCTGTCGTGCAGCAGATCCTGGGAGACTGGAGTCCATTTGGCCAATCTTAACATTGTTGGGTAACTTAGTAACTGTGCTGAAGGAGTACAGCGGTTTCTGCTCCTTGGGCCTGAAAACAGAAAAAAAAACAGACAATTGAAGTTCTGTGCGCAAAAAGTAATCTAATTTTCACATTAAGTCTTGAATTTGAGTCTTAGTCCTATGGGTGCTATGCATTTAAAAACAGACTGACTCATTGGGACAGACTGATAAAGACTGAAGAATGCTTCACAGCTAAGGTAACCTGCTACCATTCTGTGATGCATGAGACACCCAAATTTAACACACATTTCCCGCAATGCAGTGAAAACCTGACTGACAGTTCTTCAATTTTTGCCACTCACTGTGGGCGGGGCTCCTTAGGGTTCCCCTCCTCCTCCGTGTTCCCCAGACTAGGTTTCTTGGAGTTGGAGGCAGCAGTTTCTGTCGGGTCAAATTCCTCCCAGCTGTCCGAGGTCTTGGCCACGGTCTGGCCCCAGCGACGACGGCCACTCTTCACCGCCCCCATCCCACCACCACCGATGGTGTTCTCACTGCCCAGCGATGCTGCTTTCTGCAGAGGAAGAAAATACAATAGGCACATAAACACATGTTCTAATTGATAAAATCAGTCTTACTAACTTAACTCCAGCTCTCTGCTACTTTCATTGTCCTACAAGCCTTTCTCCTTTTAGGAGGAGTCTAATATGCAAAGACAGGGGCCGGAAGGACTCCTTTATGTATTAGTATTCTGGGAAATCCAAAGATAGCCTATGAATCTGCATAATCTTAGGTGCTATCATTTTTTCATTATATTCAACACAAAATACAATAAATGAGGTTCTGATTTGCACAAAGACACTCACTGCATGGCTGAGGCCTGCTGGTTTACTCTCTGTTTGGGGAAGGGGGATCTGCTGAAGAGGCTGATGATGTTCCTGCTGCTGTTGGTTTCTGGAGGATGTGGAGGCTTTGGACTCAGAAGAAGACTGCTGGGGATCAGTCTTGGGCTCCGAGGCCTGCTTCTGGGCCAGTGGCCTGGCCTGGACCTTCTTAACCTCCTGGCTCTGAGGACGAGGTCCTAAGATCTGTCCTACCTGGAAGTACGGGTAACGCAAGGACTAGACCGAGAGGGGAAAGGAATACAGATTGTTATTCTGTTTTGTAGATGTTCTGCAACCATTGTTTTCTGCTACAATGAAGATTTCTGCACATTTCTGTACTCCTTAACACTTGAGTCAAGGACTTGAAACCCTCTACATACAAACTTGTACACTCACACCTTTGTTTTTTATTCCATGCAAACAATTTTGCTGAGTTCATTTAAAATGAATCCAAATTGCTTTCTTAGAATGGGCTAAAACTTGACGTGCATCCTACACCTGGGAGCGTTGTCAGCAGAGAATGGAAAAGCATTGTCACCCCCGCTGGAAAGGTGTTTCCTACTCAGGTCCCACAGGGTTCAGTTCTGCTGTCTCACTGGAGTGTAAATTGTGTTTAACTACGTGATGACCACATGTTGTCCATGTGAAACAGAGCACACCAGCAGAGGTAGAACATTTAGCAGTGGCAGAGGGAATGGTTTAAGCACTACTAAAAATGACAGGGATTAGGATGCTAATGCAATCTCAGTATTGGACCTACAGATAATCTGCACATAGTGGTTGCACTGTCACAGAAATTGTGTCTCTGAGGACAGGTGTGTTTTTTAGGTATGTCCAAATATATCTTTAAAGTCCAGAAAAGCCAGTGTGCTCTTCGTGATGTACAAGTTAAAAACAGACAAAACAATTAAAGCCATGACTTCTTACTGTAACCAGACCTTTAGACTCAACTTTAAAGCTCAGCCTTACTTACCTGTACAGCAGTGGGTCTTTTTTTGGGGTCCCACTGGAGCAGGTCCTTCATCAGGGCGATAGCCTCATTGCTGGCATTTGGGATGAGGGTCTTTAGGTGGGTCGGCACACATTGGGGGAAGCGAAAGTTCATAGCAGCAGCTAGTTGGTAGCCCTCTGGCCAATCCGTCTAAGGGAAGAGACAAATGGTTATTCATTATCATCTTCATAAAATCAGGTGTTTACAGATTTAGTTTTACTTTAGTTCACAATTCAAATATTGTCTCAGTGTGGACAAATAATTTATTTTACACTGTCTGTGGCTATCTGAGAAGAGCATTAGAATCATTTGAGAAAAATGGTGGGTGCTGTGAGAGAATGCAACCAGGTTTTATGGCAATTTGAGCACCATTTAGCTTGTGAGGGTTCATAACATAGTGTATGCCTGTATGTAGATGATGTATAAGAATGTAGATGAAATCCAACACCACCTAAACACATCTGGTCAGCACCAACCATTGCTTTGATGCAGTTAATAAAATATGTATAATCCTTCTTGAGACGTTTCCCCTCTAGTGGCACTGAATGCCTGCCCTTGTAGTTGAGGTCACAGACTCAGTTCCAGACCAGGTTAAACCAAAAATGGGCTCTGAGCGCTCTCTGCTTAGCAATCACACTAATAGGAAGGGATGTGGTGGAAAGCCATTAGAATAAGGTGGGAATCCTGTTCAGTATGGAGCACATTTAAGATGCTTTGCACCGCAGAGAGAGAAGAACACTTCTCCTGGCCTCCCTATGTCCTACTTATTTTTATATAGTAAACAAATTTCAATTAATTTCAGCAGCAAGCCATTTTGGGTAATTACAATTAAAACCCTGAATAGAGGTAAATTCTCACCTTTTTGACAGTGCCAAGAACTTGGCAGATCTTAAAGATCTCATCCACTTCACTGTTCCCAGGGAAAAGAGGCCTGAGAGTGTAGAGTTCAGCCATGATGCAGCCCACTGCCCACAGGTCAATAGGAGAGCTGTAGGTAGACGACCTGAGCAGAACCTCTGGAGCCCGGTACCTGGACAGACAACATACTCGAATGAACCAGCCAACAAGTCCACAACTTCATAGCTTCATAAAACCAGGATAATTCTCACAATGTCACTTTTACATATCTGTTGTGCTTGAACTCAGAAGCAGCCTCACAACCTGTAATTAATGCATAGGCTTTCTTGTGTGTTTTAGATGGCTGTTGATGCCTGGACAGTACTCTCACCATCTAGTTGATACATAGTCTGTGTAGGGAGGTTTGGAGCGGATCTCTCTGGCCAGTCCAAAATCTGCAATTTTGACCAGTTCTGGACCCATGCATAGCAGATTCTCTGGCTTCATGTCTCGATGAAAGAATCCTGTAGAAATATCAAGTTGAGCCACTGTGTATAGGGCAAATGCCATTAAAAACGACGTTTAGAAAAATGCCAAAATTGCAATCATATGCAACCATTCTACATTAGTATTTTTTATTCAGTTCAAATGTGCAAAATTCAGATACCCTCTAGTGGCACTGAATGCCTGCCCTTGTAGTTGAGGTTACAGACTCAGTTCCTGACCAGGTCAAACGAAAAATGGGCTCTGAGCGCTCTCTGCTTTGCAATCACAGTAATAGGAAGGGATTTGGTGGAAAGCCATTAAAGTGAAGTAGAAATCCTGTTCAGCATGGAGCACATTTAAGATGCTTTGCACCACAGAGAGAGAAAAACACTGCTCCTGGCCTCCCTATGTACTACTTATTTTTATATAATAAACTCATTTTCTCCATCATATCATTGGGGATGTTATTTAAATTAATTTCAGCAAAACACAATATTCAGATACCACAAGAAAAGGAAAACTGAGGAGCTAGTGAATGGATGCATATTTGCCTTCCTCAGTGTTGGCACAGGTTTGAAGGTCTGTGTATTCAAGGACTAAGTATTCTACATACTTTGATCATTTTCATTATTTAACCATGGCCACATTGTTTTTCTAATATTAGCGAAGCTGTTTTAGTTACCTAATCCTATATGTTCAGTAATTCAGTTACCACATGCAGATTTAAAGGGAATGTAAGAAAAAACTTTGGCAGTGCATTTAGCAATTACAGTATTAACATTAATAGTATTGAGTCATAGTAGTAATACAGGGGGCATTGTATTTCCCTAGAAATGTATTTCACTAATGAAAGGTAGTTGCATATGAGGGCAATTTGTAAACACAGTTATTACATGAGCCAAGTTCTAAGCATGAAGAGACCTGGATAAAACAATATGCAGGCTGTTGAACTGCATATTTGTTTTGTTTTGTTCTTAGCGAAATTAAAGTGAAACGTCTTTGCTGAGGAAACAGGTAAACCTAAAGGAACTAAAATGTTTGATGCTATTATAAAATGTACTATGAGCTAGCTCTGTTAAATGTATCTAAGAACAAACACAGCTAATAGGCTTGTGGTGTTCTAAATTACACGACTTGTTACAATATCAAACACACTCACACCAACAACTGAAAGGTTGTATTACTCAAGCAGGTAAACAGGTAAGGTAAAGAAGGACAGATTGAAGTAGCCTCTTACCATGCTTATGTACAAAAACCAACCCAGAAAGCACTTGAAACATGATGTTCCTAATTTCATTCTCTGAGAACATCTTATTCTCTCTAACAGCAGAGCAAAGAGACCGAAAAGGAAAGAATGAGGGGGAAGAGAAATGAAAGAAAGCAGTTAATAGAAAGAAAAGAGTTTTAAAACTGGCAACACTACATATGATGCATCCACACAACCATGAATTATAGAAATGCAGACCAATTAATTAGATAAGGGCAGTTATGAAAGGTTCACAAACTACAAGATTCTGATCAATGAATCACCAATTTGACAATTCAGGTCTTTGGTTGCAATATCCCATACTTCATAGTTTTATACTTTTCTCATTGCATAACTATTCAATGAATCTTGCAGTATGTAACCACTCTCATGCATTTGCAAGGCATGAAGGGAACAGCGTACACCTACCATGTTTGTGCATAAATGACAGGCCTTGTAAAATCTGAAAGCTTATGTTTCTTATCACTGATTCAGGGAACAATTTTCTTCTGTAAACATAAAATTGACAGAATTCTCATGAACCTACTAATGTAACCAACATTACAGAAACATCATTATGTTTGTCTTTGTACACATACACTAGCTGGTAAAACAGAGCATTTATAAAATTATACATTTAACCACTAAACTGACTGTAAATCATCAAGGGCTTGACTCGTGTGCAAGTGCAGTGGAGACACATGAGTTTCCAAACTAGCAAAACCGTCAGAGCCTTCCATTAGAGAAGGTAATTTAAATTACATCACACCCCAAGTATATAATCTGGCCATGTTTCAGGCTTGTGATCCAGAGACGAAGCTCACACATGCTAACATTTGGAAAACTTTGTGTTACAGTAATGGCATCAAACTAGACCCCTGTGTTATACACCTTGTATTGTATTACGTTGTAAAGCATTCTGTTCTTACCTGTCCTTCATAAGCTGGTAGAGGTTCTCCTTCATATACTCAAAGACAAAGTAGAGGTGATCGTTCTCTCTGATTACCTCCTTCAGTTTTACCACATTCGCATGGTTCAGCTTCTTCAGTGACTGGTGTGAAAAGACAAGAATACCGGCACTCATGTAATGTAATAACAGCTTTATGTGCGTGTAATTACACGTGTATAATAAAGATATTAATCTAAGATATTAGATTTGTTCAACAATGATATTAAATGTTTATAATTATGAATCAGAAAATTCCATGGAGCAGGAATACTGTAACACTTTAATTACTGTTCCCGATTCTAACGTTGGTGTGAGCTTTTTTGCATTATTGCTTAAACTTTTCATTTATTTTCATCTCATGCCTGCTGTTGCCAATGACTGGAAGTACTGCTGTTATACAGCATCCCATAACCGGCCCAAAGTATCACCATCCGTACCTTCACCTCCCTTAGGTTCATACATTCTTCCCATGAATAAAACTTCCTCTTCATTCTGTGAAAGAAGGATAAAACCAGACATTCATTTGGAGTACAGATCGGACATGCATCAATTGAAGAATAGAAGACAACACATTTGCAGGCTGTATAAATTACACCAGGCGTACAGGAGAGTCACTATCTTTACAATATTCCTTTGTGCGTCGCCACTCTCCATCAATAATTCAGCTTTTGTGAGGCTTACCTAATTTCAGCTCATTTAATTTCAAGAAGAAAACTAACAAAAGCTGTAGATTGTTGAGGGATTGTACATAAACTGTATAGGCTTTACCATTGCTTTCTTTCTATGTTAATTAAGTGTAAAACACACTTGACTCAGCTGATGTATGAAGTCGTCAGTTTCATCGCAGTGTGTTTTGCCATGTACATTGAAACCGCATGTAAGCTGGTATACATGACACCTTTATGAGAGCTTTTCTTCTCTAATCAGCGTTACTTCTCCCTCCCACTGGAGTTATGTAAGAGTTACAGAACGTGTAGATATCTTTTTCTGCTCTCTGGGCATCAGCCAGTTTCGGTCGTCCCTTCCACAATGTCAGAAACCTGACACACTCCCTCTACTTTCACTCCCTTTCACCATCACCGCACGTATTGTCTTGCATGGTAACCAAATGATCAACCAGTGGACGCATCTCCCTGGTTTCTCATTTATTATTGAATCTTGCTGCCATGCTGCTGAAACAAAGGCTTGTAAGCTAGTTTGTTTGTCCTGGTGACAGCAGGGAACCAGTAGCCCTTAGTCCTAGACTTCACTTTATATTTCTATTATAATGACATATAATTCATTAAATATGACATATTAAAAATATTTTTGAAGTACTTCTACTTTGTAAAACACTGGAGAAAAATTAGCTGACCTTAAAATATACAATATATTTGGATTTACAGTGATCAATTACTTGCTTATTTTGGGGATGATTATTAGTGCTTTTAAACAATATTCAATGTAAGAAATGGGTACACAATGTGGACTACCAAGCCTTATTCCACTTAATTAGAATAGTCAGTACTGTAGGTTTGCTGAATTGTAGAACTTCACTATAATGTTAAGTAAGCTTAAAAATTGGAAAAGGACAAAATATCAACCATATTGCATTAACAAAACAATCAAACTCTCACAATATTAATATTCTATCAATATAATGTCATGCTTTAACAAAGACAATATTTAAAATACTATAATATTAAAATAATGATCAACATTTTAACCTCTTGATTGCCACCAGTTCTCCAGACTCGTTGCTTCTCCCCATCAGCACACTGCCATAGGTGCCATCACCCAGCTGCTTTAGGGTGGTGTAGCGATTCATCATCTCTCCTTATTCTTAAAACAAGTTGTGGAAACACAGCGCTGATTCATTGATCAAATGTCTTTCCTGTTTCCTGTCCTCTTCTGCTGAAGGAATGTCTTTGTTTCACCTGCTCAGTTGTCCTTTTCCCAGGAGGAAGGACTTTCAGTTGGCCAGTATGTGACGACGCTCACCAATTCTTGAGGTTCAAAACTCATCTTGCTGTAACCGATCCATTGTTAGAAAGATCGGATCCCAGTGATGCAGGTCAGCCAGCGGTCGACACTCTGCCTCTGCAATCCTTAAGCGACAGAAAATAAATACACATCATGAGCAGCAGACACACCAATCAGCTACAAATACAATAAACGGTTACAAGCTTCACCCACTCCTGTAAATCCCGACAAAACAGGACTTCTAAGAGATCTGAAGACAAAGAAAAGCGAGGACCATTTCTTGTTTTTCCCTCAGTGAGGAGGATTAGGTGTGTGTCTCACTAGTAGCTTCCAACATGACCACCCAAGGGAGATGACACAGCCAGCCCTAGGCAGATTAGGCCAACAGGGATGTAAATAGGATGTTACATCACCATCATGCTTACCGGCATCCACTACCTTCCCCAAGCACCCTGCCTGGCAAGAGGATTTGACCGACGCCACGGGCCGCAGGGATCACACGTTATGTTTTATATTCTGCCTAAGGACTCGGAAAAAAAAAAAGATAGATGCAAAAAATGGTACGGTATATTCTCACGTAGGCCTCATGTGTAACACCTTAAAGACAATAAACTGAGTAGCCTCCCTAAAACCTTTTAAGCCTACTTTATCCTTTCGCGTGGAGGATTAATGTTGGGTTATCTGGTACATGTTCAGTTTCTCAAATAGAAGACCCCGAGAAAGTCTTGGCCAAAAAAACGCCAAAAAGTGTACACAGGAATCATAAAGCTATCACTATACAACTGTTTCTGATGGTGAAAGATTACAAAAGTGGGAAACTTTTGGACAAAGAAGACGCTGTTCCTTTCTTCATCAACTCACATAAAGTTTTTCTTGAGCAAGGCATTTAACACTGCCCAGAAAACAGTATGTCTGACACAATAAGGGCAATTAAATGTCAAGGAAAACTAGTTTTTTTTGGGGGGATAAACAAAAGTTAATGGATGTATTGGTTGCCAAAAAACAACTGATCTAAGAAATAATAATCATGCTGAAGGAAGAGGGTGTAAGGATTTAAATTCCATATGTCAGCTATTTTCATGAAACTTTAGTTGAGTGTGGTAAGTAGAATCTCATTGAGTAGGTCTACTGTCTTCCTGTATTTAGGTTAAAGGAAATTCTGTTGCAGGTAAGCCAAAGGTAGCTGAACAAAATGAGATTAGTGTTTATTTCATCGAATGGGGCCAGGAACTGGCATCCAAAGAGAACGTCCAAACTGGATTTAGCTCTGTGACTCCGGATATAATGAATGAATCATCAGTGCAATTACAAATATGTAAATGTTTAAAGATTTGCCATCCTTTTTGCACACTGTATACAGACTTCTCAACGTATCTTTCTTTTTTTCCACTGCAAAGTATGAATGATTTCTCTAAACAAAACCCTGCTTGATATCCTGAGTCTCACTGAAACAATAAGCAATAGCACAAGTGGAGAGGCCAGCCAGCACACTGCTGGCCTGCACTCGGCTTTCACATATGGCAATCTGTTGTGGAGGGATTTAAAGGGAATTAAGATGTAGCCAGGCCACATGACATTAGGAAGCTATTCAAGGTCAATTATATTGAAAGCACACGTGGACACTAACCTGACAGTGGGAAAATAAACAGAGTAAACTCAATTTGATCTTCTAAATGTGATTAGTTGGTCAAATAAATGACTGCTTTGTTTCCCATTAGTAGGCTAACTCTACCGTCCTATACATTTGAGCCTGAACTAGGTAAACTTCTGTGAAATACACAGTGTAGTTTATCGGGAAAAGAGAAAGCACAGAGAAACATTTGCTGCTGACACGCTGTCGCGTTTTGACAGTTCAGTTCCTCAACCATCTTTGTTCTGGCCTCTGTTTCCCCCGTTTTCTTCATGTTCTTGCGGTTTAAAACTCACCATTATGGGGTGTAGTTGCCTTCCTGCGGTTTCCTTTGTCTGGGTCCGCTGATAGCGCGACGTTTCTTCAGATAAAACCCACGTAGCATCTAAACCGAGCTCTTACGACAAGGCGCGCGTGCGAGTGCGCGTGACGAAGTCCCCATGGAAACGTACACACAAACGCGACGCTTGTTTAGGTTGCCAGGTGACCAGTGGCTTATGAGGGCGCAATGCTTCATGGGACTGCGGAAGTGTAAAGCCTCCACTTCGACAAATTTAGGTTGAACTTTTTGTTTTTATTTTTATTTTGAACTGCACTGCTAGTAATATTCCTGCTCCATGTAATAGCCTAAATATGTTCAGATAACCTCCAGACTTAGTGTGAGCTCCTCACTTCACCGCCTCTCTGGACACAGAGGCAGTTCCCGCGCTGCACCAATAGATGGAGCTGTAGAGCTGTGGGTTTTCTTAATGGACACAGACGTGAACACATAAATCTGAACAAGTTTACTTTACTCCAACTGTTAATTTACTATTTCATATCATATAGACCAGTGGCCCAGTAATTAGAGAATACAGATACAAGATATTTCTAACAGCCCCAATAAAAGTAATGCATTTATTAATATTATAGAATATATAACCTGCTCATGGGGCGCTGGTAA